ATTCAGTCCGTAGGTAACTCACCTTGGTGATGTTACTGAATACCGCATTTAGTGAGAAATGAATATATTGTGCAATTTGTCTCAAGATTTTGGGGGGTAGGTCCTCCGGTTCTATTGAATTTCTCTTGTATAAAATGCCGAAAGCCTCAAGTCTATCGTGTTGATCAAAGTCCACGGTGAGCAGACGTTTATTGACTTTTATATTTGGGTCTAGTTCTTCGTCTAGAAGAGACTCGTGGGTAAAAACTGTCCCGAAATAATTTGTCCTAGCCTCTGCTTTTTTGTGATCGTTCTCTATCACTTGAGATCCACTCTCTTCCGCAACTAGGTCGGGAATGTAATGCTGCACCCTTGCTCCGTAATTTGTATGCGAGAATAGTCTCTTAAGCTGCTTGGTTACAAGACTGGGTTAGCTGCATTTCACAGTCCCACGGAGCTTACCGGATTTTAGTTATACACTTATTTATTACCGACCTGTAGTGTTCGGCCACACTTGGTTTGTCAGTACTGATGGAAATGTTCCAACATTTCTTCTTTCGTCTTAGTAAACGTCGACTATCTCGGTCAATCCAAGGACGGCCGTGCCTCTTATTCTTTGGGGCCGTTCAAAGCATATATGGTTGAGTTACGTGGTTGTATAACTGTCCGAAATGAGTCCATGCCTCTTAGTCAAAGATCCATTTTTCGGCTGATGCTACAGATTTAATTGCTTTCATGTCTGCCTTCCATATGCTAGAACGAACGACGCAACTATTCGACAGACCATTTCAGACATAGACTTGAGTAGTCTGACAGAATGATCACTTCTCTACAGAAGTAGGAGGAAAGTCCCCTGACGAACATCATCACTGTGTGTGAAGATTAGGCTCAAGAGAGATGAGAAGTTTTGTAGTTCAAATCTGTTGGGATCCCTAATATGCTTGAATGAAGCTAGGGCGATTGTGATTTTCAACAATTTCCAATCAAATGATATTGCTGATAACCCTACTTATAATTTTCCCCAGTTTATATGTGGTGAATTGAAGTAGCCTATTGTAAGGCTTTTAGCCCCATTACACCGGGACTGACGTTTGTGTGGAAGGGAGTCATATACTACAAATTATGGACTGAGGTGCACTACAACCAATTCAATAACTTACCATTTAAATTTCGGCCTGCGGTGTTTCAGTTTACATGGTTAAAAACTGTCTCGAAATAGTTTGTCATAGCCTCGGCTTTTTTGTGGTTATTCTTTATTATTTGAGATCCAGCTCGTATGATCAAGGTACTTTTCGTGTATGGGATAACCCCACTTCTCCTGAGGTTTCATCTATCAGCTCAACTGGGAAGTGCATCAATCAATTGAATTCTACTATCACAAACTTGGAAGATGGCGATGACATCAGAGTTTTCTATGTCTATCATTGTCTTGAGCACCGCCATTTTATTTTCTAGGCTGCAGGCATTTGTATAGCACACCTTCAATTCTGTGAAGGGCTTCCTTTTATCACCAAATTGGTTTGAGGACCATTTTGCTCTGAATTTTTACAATGGGTAGACCCTGGAGTAAAAGGTTTTTCTCACCGTTTGGGTGGAGCTCGTTTAGTTCTACATCTGTCGGTCGTCTCTCAATACGATCAACCGGCATGAGATCCTCATGGATATATATTGCGGGTCCAGTTAGTTTGCGCGAATTTTCCAGCATTCGGTTTCTTTCCTCAACCAGAGTAGAGGTGACTGTTAAGAGGCAGGATTTCTACGTACTTACAGAATCCACTTTTTGTCCAATTCTATAAAGCTTACAGATGCTAACTGTTGATACTGCTTCTGGAAGTTGCTTGCCTATTAGGAACTTAATTGTGACTTAGGTCGTGTTGAGATCTAGCCTTTGGTTACTTTTCGGAAGATTCTCTTAACTTATGAAGGATGACTGGCCTGCCAGCTTAGTCCTGCCTTTAATTTAATTTTTTTGGATCAGGTTGTGGTTTATAAGTGTATAGTAATTTTGTTACTATAAGTAGTACTAGGAGATCCTGGGTGGAAAGACACCTAAATTTTGTTTTGTTCTTTCTAAATAAGATTGGTAAAAACTTAGGTTAAAGGTGGAACAAGTGATTTTAGATCAAAATTTTCAGTAAAATCCATCATAATACACGGAATCTTGCGGTATGATGAGCTCTTTTGAGTTCCGACCTAGCAAAAGGGGCTACCACCTTTTCACTTCGTGTTGGAAATTTGGCAACTTAGTTATTTTAACCTCAAAGAGTTCACACGAGTTTTAAACGGTTTTTCGTGTACTGTCCCAAGTAGATATCCTACTTTGCGATGCTTGAGGTCGAATCATGGGTGGTAAATTGAGTTAAACAATAACCGACTGAAATGAAACATCCTAATCGTATATCCTATATCACTTCATGTTGGGTTCACGACATTCGTGGTAAAATCTGACCAAGGTTAGTCTAGACCCATTTTAAGTGCGTTTGCTGTCTAGAAAAATCCTTTTAGTTAATCCGCTACACCTGATAACTAGATATTAAATTCTGATACAAAGTGTTTATGAGATAGATGTCGTTAACCGAGTCACAGCACTAAACAATTTCGGATCTATGTATGCACATTCTGGGAGTGATAATACAGTTACCTGCGTTGAGAGATATTGATTAGATGTTCATTGCAAAAGAGTAATCAAGAAAATAAAACAGCCTTTCGTCACGATTGACACTTTTGTAGTAAGTGGTTGACTCGCATTAAACGATATACTGTTACATGATAACTTTATGAACAGTCGCCTTAGTAACCTCTCACCATTAACATCTGTCCTTTTTACAATGGAATTTCTCTCCTATCAGTTACTGTAAAGATGCCGCAGGTATTCGGGGTCTGATAACGCCTTTACACTTAAGAATCTTATAATCGAAGTATGCCAACCCAGTCAAATCAAAAGTCAGAAACGAAGACGTTTGAAGATATATTTGGAAGACCATCGATATGTCAGGGTTTTGTCTGAGTTGGTCAACAATCGCAAGAGATGCGTATCATGGCGTACTCACTCGTGATCCGGTGTGGATGCATGACCTAGAGCCTTAGCTAGGTGTGTTCCAGTGAACTAATCAGGCCAGTATCAATGCCAAAAACTTACAGAACTATTTGATTTAGGGATTTATTTACCGCTACAGTTGCCTTTATTGTTTTCCTTCCTGATACGATACTTGAAGATCTTTGAGTTCAAGACTGTTCGATTTCGTCGTAACAAGAATCCCAGCATAGTTTATGCTTCTAACCTCGTATTTCTTCTCTGTTAACTCCGGTTTCCCAATCTCGATATGCAGTAGTTTACTGATGTAGTCTACTTTTATTCTAATATCTTACAACGCCAAACTGATTGCCTGTCTAGTTTCTTGCAAGTAATGTTACACGATTTTAGTAAGACTGTGGTATACCTCAACTGTTGAAAATGTCAGTACTTTAAGAAACATAAATGAGAAGTTTTATTAGTTAGCTGATTATTACTCTGTCATTATCTTTTGTTTTATTCTTAGTGGTCATATTTTGTAGTTAAATACGATCGTCATGAATCTTAGGCACTTAAACGACGTTCATCTCTAGGTGAAACTTTCTTAACAACATTATACATAATTGAAAATCTTTGAAAGACAACTAGATATGTTTTTCACTGATATTCCGTAAAAAGCCGAGACAGTTTTAAACAAAACCTTAAAACTAGTTAATGAAATTATCTTCAATTAATTATGAGACATTATCAAAATAGCTTTCTTTAGAATCCTTAATAGACTATGTATATCATTTCTTCACTAAAAAAACAAATGAGTAAATATATTGATCCATAGTGATAAATCTTTTATTTTTAAAAAAAAATCATACAACAACAACAAAAGCAGAGATTTTTTTCGGTTAAGCTTCTGTTGAGCACAAATTATACAGGCTAGTCTTGGTGCCGGTATTTTCTTTCCACGGTTTTTTTGTTTGAAAAATTAAAGTAAACTACTCAGCAACTATATTACTCTTTTATTTAATATAAATAGTATTAACTTGAGAAAAGGAAACCATTGAGATTTTAAACCCGTTTGCAATAAGTAAACTATAAGAAATAGATGAATTACAATTATTATGAAATTTATTAGTACTTTATGAAAACATTCATACATATCTGATCATTAAAAAAGAATACATTGAATAAATAAATACATTTAGTTAAGAAGAAGTCATTAAAGGCAAACAATTAAATAACAGATACATCATACGTAAAGAAAGTGAAAAGTAAAAAAAAAAGAGAAAGAAGTACGTTTCAATTCAATTTAAATAATATCAAATATGATTTTTGTTTCCATTTTCAATTTTTTTTTAAAAAAAACGAATTGTTTCCATATTAAAATGAAATATTTAGAAGAGAATAAAAAAAATAGGATAGTTTCATGAGTATATATATGTCAGTCAGTCAGTCAACAACGTAGAACTTTGTACGTACATACATCAGTTCAAGTTGCCATATCACATTACCACACAAAGATACAATTTTGGATGCAAATCCCATAATGGTAATAATAATAATAATAATAATGAAAAAATTATTGTTCATTAAAATATCAACACTTTTCAATAGTAAGAAATAAACTTAAAATGATTAATCAAAATGTTAAATGTTGAATATTTAATAGAATTTTATGTTTACAATATCATTAGATACAGATTACTATTCATTTTTGATTTATACATAATACAGCGAAATAAGAAATCAGTATTTGAGTTATAATTTTAAAAAAGTCTCTGGGGTTTCTTTCTTTCGTTCATAAAATAGCAACACTTTCGAAGTAATACATGTCTTTCTTGTGTGGTTGATATTAATGTATTTACTTTTTAATAAAAATTGTTCTCCACAGAACATAAGTAAAAAATATTTATGAAACGCAAATATGGTATGTGTTCATAGGATGTAAGTGATTTCCAATGAAATAAGTATTTCTATTCATTGTCCAGTAATAAATTTGAAAAAAAATACACATTTAGATACATTTAACCATACCAATTTCTGTACCACAGAATGGACATTCATGTTTAACATCTTTACAACAATTTGTAAAGAATGGTATCAGAAAACAGCCTAGAACGCCACTGTTATATTCAATGATTATTGAAATAAGAGAAGGTAGAAAAAGGAATATTTAATGTTATTGAATTATATATTTGTTAACTAAAATTTATATCAGCTGATATCATAAGAAAAGACATTATGTGATATCTAAATGGATAAGATTTGACTACGTTCTTGATTAATTATCAAGAAAAATCAAAACGTTTTGAAGAACTGTCATGGTATATAAGTAACTACTATGTCGAACAAAGTCTTAATTAGTTAGCATTTCATAAATGACTGGTTGCTAAAACATCTGAACCATTAAATATAGATCTATTGTTATACAAATTCCTATTTTAGATATTTTTTTCAATTGACTAATTGTGCCTGTCAGCCGGAAACACTTAAGAACCTTCATAAAATTCTAGTAGGCTATAGCAGATACAATTACTGAGGAAATTTAAAAGAATCAAAGAGATGGTTTGTACATTTAACACCTATAATATATACGGAAATGACAGCCGATTACTATGAAATTCATTCATCAAATATTTATTACAATAGAAAATAATGTTAAGGAAACATAACCATTCTTAAACATTTGTGGGTGAGTGAATATGAATGATTGATAATGAACGATTAGAAACCTTTTATGCTCATTGTTTGGATATACATAAGTTGGATGATTAAAAACGGGAATATTGTTAAAATATTTCATCTATTTTTCCAAGAACTCTCTATTTTAAGTAAATATATGGTATTGAATAAAGTGGTTATCATTTTGTTTAATACAGTGGCTCAGTGGTCTCAAGGTTAAGCGTTCACGAGCGAGACTGATAATTCCTGAGTTTGAATCTCGTAAGGCGGGATCGTGGATGCGCACTGCTGAGGAGCCCCATATTAGGATGAAACGGCCGTCCAGTGCTTCCAGGTTTTCCATGGTGATCTGGCTGCAAATGACTCATGAATTCAATTAGTAAATTACTACAATCTACACAAAACCTCTCTCTGATTATATACTGATTTATTCAATATTTAGTAAAAATTAATACAGAAAAAAAACAGATTGAAGTAACAAATATTTTTGTTGAAGTTTCATTGAGTTCTGTTTGCACATGCAGCTTGTTTAGTATCACACAATAAAATATTGATTAGATACACTTGATTGTTCAACTATCATTTTACTATCTATATTTTCATTGTACAATTTGACTGAAATAAATCTATTGATGTAATATCACTCTTGATCATTTCTAAAATGTTTATGAATACAGATTATTTTGTGTTGTTTTTCTTTTCACTTACAAATGACCAATTGTAAAAATTGGAATTCTCTTGTAATTCTCATTCAATATTATCATTCAGTCACTGGTTTATTATCCACTTGGTTGACTATACAGGTTATGACTAACAACTGAAACTGTGAAATCCACCCTATAAGCAATGACTAGCGTGGTTTTATAAATTTTCTGAGTAAATTTGTTCCAAAATATACACCATTTAGTATTCACTCAGACACGAAGATCATTGTATGATCTTCCTAATGCACTCATGAGTAGTCCCAAACTAGAACAAAACAGATATCAAATACTTCTTGATTTTCAGTGGATATTTAGTTGTTATTGATCATTTATGAAATCCCTACGAAATATAACAATAATTTTGTACAAAACTACCTTATTTATTCAGAATGAATTAAGAATACCTATATCATTGGTGATTTTGTGTTGTGTAAAATAGATGACATCATTGCAAATCTCTTATTATCTTTATAGGTAATAAAGTGAAAAGAATTCATATATTCAATAAGACGTTTTAGACGAACAAAGATCCTTGAAGCTTTCAAAATAAAGTAAGCTAATACTTATCTTATAGATGATTTTTTTAAAAAAACTTAAAATTTTTGAATAAGTATTCATTTCCAACTAAGTAACTGTTACAAATTTCATTTAGCATTCAGTCAGTCAGTCAGCTACAACGTAGGACCAGACACATATAGGCATCGGTTCAAGTTGCTATACTTCTTTAACCCAACAAGATGAACACCGGATTCATACAAGTAGTTAATTCAGGAGTGGTGATATATATAAAAGAAAGATTGCAATAAGGATATAGTACAGGAAGAAAGAATTAATTCGTAGAAAGAAAGATATGAAGCAATTTTAATCTCTTAGTTTTTTTTTTCTCATTTTTTGGATAAGAATGAATAACAATAATACTAAATGCACTGTAACTATACTTAATTAATTCATTAAAATGATCGTTAGATTTCGCCCAAATGCACTTTATATTAAGAAAAAAAACAACTATTACTATTATGGGTCATGTTAACTATGTCAGATCAATACATTCATTAAATATAATCCTATTTAAACTTCTTTTAATTATTATTATTATTTGTCTGAAGAATCATTTAATGACATTTTGTTTGGTGGTTTTTATTGTTTGTTTTAAATAAAAAAAAATAATTTATATACAACTTACCCACATAAAAAAATTAACACTGCCATAAGCCATGTTAAAACACCAACATGATATGTTATTCTGGTCACAGTAACATGTTGACAACAATCACATTGGAAAGATTTTGGTAGACGATTAAGTTTTCTAGTATGTTCTATATCTGATTCAGAAACTAATAATAAAATAAGAAATGAAAAAATTTTTTCATAAAATACATATTATCTATTCCATAATGATTTGATTATAATAATCTTAATCTTAATAATAATAATAATTATTATTATTATTAATTGCTTTATTCAATATTATATTTTTGGTACAATATAGAATTCTCAGCACAGGGTATTTCAACAAGTTACTTACGCAAAAAAATCAGTAACAAAGATAAAAAAGGATTTAAAAAACGGAAAAACTGTACAACTTTTCAAATTAAAGACATGTTAAGAATGCAGGTTATTGACTACGTTAACTCTAACAACCTGTTCGTCACAGATTATATTTGCTAGGTAAGGTATTATAGAACTTTTATACTTTTGCTTGCGTGCATGGATTTTAATGTAACTACGTCCGGTTCTACCAGAAGATATACAAGGAGAAAGAAAAGAGTGAAGGTGATGGTTAGTATCTGATAAAATAACACCTGCCAGGAGTTTGCATGACTTTAGATGTCTATCCACAATCATATTAATTATGACCTCGAAAGATTCACCATACACCTTGCTAACTGCCTTCAACACTTTCAGCAATACAGCAAAGTCTTTTCTCAAAAGCCCGGAAAAGAATAATGGAGAACAGTAAAGAATACTAGGTAATATGCAAGGATTGACAATTTGTAAGAGTAAATGACGAGTAATCCCAAGGGCATTCAATCTTTCTATGTAGTGAGTCAGACGGAAAACCTTCTCTGATAACAATAAAACGTGGGAAGACCAAGAGAGATCAGAAGAAAAGGTAACACTAAGATAATTGACCTTCGACACTGTGTTTATCAAAGAGTCTTCAATGGCACAAGCATTATGAAATTTCAAAATGATGTTTAGATGCTGTTCATGTCTAATAATAATCTTAACAAAATAATAACAATAATAATATCTCTAATAAATGTCTATGTACTCTAAGTATGATTGTTACCTTTTTCTTATTTATATTTTTTGGCACAAGATATTGTCATAAACAAAAGTTTTATTTAATTTCATAGAAAAAATAAATAAATAAATAAAACGTTTCTATGTGAATACATCGTTGAAATTTAGTTAAAATAAGAATAATAAAGAAAGATTAGTTATTTATTATTTTAGACTGTTTATTAATGATCTAATATGATATAAATGACAAGTAGTTTTGAATGTTTTATGGATTCTTTCATATATGATTTTCATTGTAAGTATTATTGTATAGTGAATACATGTTTTAAATTAATATTTAACCAAGATAACTGACATTTTGTTTATTTACTTAGAAGATATATATGATCGAATTTATTAAGTTACTTATTAACAATACTGTTTAAAGATTGAATTGTTTACTTTAATGTATTATTTATTTAATTTATTATTGTTAAAATAAGTATGATATTCTATTGATTGTAGTTTAAGCTTAGTTATAAGGCTTAGTGATTTAAATTGGTAAACTTTAATAAATTTTTAGAATGTTTAAAGATAGTTTTACATATGAAAACTAAGAAATAGATTGTAAGATACTGTTATATCAATGCAATCAATTTAGCGGTTATAATTTAAACATAGAAGATATTATTCAATTAGAGTTAATAATTACATCACATGACATTTACTTCTGTTCAATAAGTGATTAGTTTGTTGATTTTTTATTCCTAAAGAATATCAAATTCAATACACTCAATTTATAGGTAGTAATTATCGTTGAGTTCTTGTTTGATCTTTTAGAGTGATTTATTTTTCGTAAGTTTAACTGTAAGATTGATTAGCGATTAACAAAAGTGTGCAAAAATAAAAATCTAGGGTTTCTTCCAACTGCCTTTAATTACATAACATCAAGAATATCATTCATTCTGTAATAATACTTATCAACGAAATTCGTTTTCTTAATACTTATATATTAGTGACATCTTATTAAGTTAGTTGCTTTGCAATATTTGTCAGTTAATAAGTTAATTTATTTAATTATTCCATTTTGAATACAATTAATTCAAAACTATGTATCATACTAGATTGCCATAATAAAATATCCTTTAATGTTTACAATATTCTGTTTAATCATAGAACATAGATTTTTATGAAAATTTCACACAGCTTACCTTTGCTTATAGATGCTCTGGGTGTTACTTGAGGTGTAACAAAAGTTTTTGTCAAAGGTGATGGTGTAGCTGCAAAAAAATAAGTTACAAATAATGTATTTAGTAGAAATTATTTCTTCAAATTGTAGTTATTGCGAAATTCAAATGAGAAGAATTTATGTACTTAGAAATATCTAGATTACATATTTTCAAAGGGTATTTATTAATATACATAATTATGCATAATAAACATGGAATATGATGATAGAAACCAATGAATTATCTAACATTTATCAAATAATTAATAGTACCATGTTTGTAGTTAATTGAATATCAAGTATTGATGGATATAATGTCCTTTAGCGTTCAAATAAGTGAACAGTTAAGTTAAAATTATTCTGTGATAAGTAAAACTTATAAAACTAAAAAAATAATTCAGATTGGTTTTGCATATCATACTTAATAGAATGAGGATCCCCATTTAATGATGATTAATATATGATAAACAGTGAAACAGCGTAAATTAAGCATAAAAGAATCAAAGTAAATAATTTGGGATAGTGGTTGATCTTGGAATGCAAAACATGTGCTTTAAACGTAAGCTATAATAACCTTATAACTATAAATAATTATTTGAGCTATTCATTCAAGCAGAGCATATATTTATACACAGTTTACAGATCTAACTCTTAATATCAACAACAGTAGAATATGAATCATTACAACAAACAAAAGCAATTAGTTTAATTTACATGTCGTTAAATTTTAAATGTTTAACAAAACTACTTACGTTTTGCAATAGAAGGTTGTTCAGATTTAATTGCTTGGTTTTGTTGAATTTGAGCCTGAACACTCAGTGGGACTATAAAAACAATACAAAAATATAAGGATACTACTTTGTATAACTTAATTTTTTCTTACTAATATGATTTTTTTAAAATATACAGTCAAATTATAAAAATGAAACTCTTAATTAGTTAGGAATGATTTTCAATTTCTTCATCTACAAGAATTTCACATCTTCATTTATTGTCATATGGATTTGGAAAAAAATGTTTTCAAATCTAATATACAATAGTATCTTTTTTTGGAGCACTTTTGGCTTTGTGTAGTAAGTAGAGGGTGATTAGTGTAATGCTTGTTTATTTCTGTCGAAAATTGCACTATTTAAAAGCACTGGAAATAACTCAAGTAAACATTATCGACAAATTAAATCATAACAAAATAATTTTTAAAGCCTATATGAATATATATGTAACAATGAACATGAAAAGTTCAGTGATTTAATCAAAACAAAATTGGAAAATGTAATCAGTTAAGTGAACGCGAAACATATACATAACTGTATAATGTGTATTTGAAAGTTCACCAAATGGTATTGTTAAGACATCAAGTGTTAAAAGTAGTCAATGGATTGAATGTGAATGACAGTAAGCTATCACTAAAAGTTAAAAGCAAATAACTGGTAATAAAATTTACATGAATAGCAAAAATTATTTCCTGAATAATGAAACGTGTTTCTTTTACTGATTTTCATTTTACTTTAAATGAAGTAAATGAAGTAACATTGCTTTTATACATTTCGTATTTTTAAAGTTGAGTCAAAGTTAGATTTATTTCCTTTACATCCTTTGAAGAAAAGTTACACCTACTTCAAAATGATTGGTTAACAAAGAGAAAAGTATAACTACATTCTGTGAATATATATGTATATAGCAAGTAGGCAGTAAACAACTAATACATACTAGGAAGTTGATTTTCCTTAGTTTCCTATCACAAGCTAACACAAAGTCAAATATAAAGCATTCAAGTCTTGAGTAAAACATGGGATCGTAAAGTAACTCTGCCAGAATTTATTTGTCTAGGTCATTTCGATGCAGTGCAAACGTCTTTCAACATCAATGGGCTGCATTAGAGTTGTAGGATTTGATAGGTCATGACTTCTGTTCATAACCTTGAGGAATCCATCTCAAAGCAAGTTATCAATAGTAAAACGTTTATTAATAAGCTTTTTGGTTTTGGTAAACCTCCCTGAAATCGGTTTTGTATAAAAAGAGCCTTCCGAAAAACTATTCACTTTATTCATGAGTACACAAGTCTGACTCAAGGTAATTATAAATATTTTCTATCATGCATAAATGATTTTTAATTTATTTATACTATCAAAGTCATATTTTAACATTCTATTATAATTAGAAACATAATTCTACTAGTCACCAGTCAAGTCGAAAGTGAAAGTGTATGCCTGTTTGTATGTGATTGTGTGGGACTGAGAGAGAAAATTAATTATTAGACAAATCAAACTGTTAGTTCAATTCATATGTTCTGTTCAAAATGAAAGTGTTTCTTCACAACACTATTTTGTTAGTAATTTTAATATTGCACATACTGATTTATTTTAATAAATTATTATTAAATTATTACTGTTTCTACAGTAGTATGTCATCTAATCATACTAATGGTAGTGTAGTGAAGAGAACACCAGTGGGGACAATCGGATGTATTTAACACAAAATTACAGGACTTGTTAATAAAATCTAACAATCATAAAGTAAATGCTTAATTTGCAAAATGTCCATCAATTGTCTCAAAATCACTCAAACTTCATTGTTCTTGAATTTTCATACAAATTGCATTCTGTTTCCATTCCTTACTGTCCGATTCTTTCGTCTCTCTGCTGCCAGACCTTCTGTTCACGACTAACATCATATACTATTTATGTCAATATAAGTAGCACACACCACAGTAGTGTATCATACACAAAAGTCTGATATATTTTCTATATACATAGTTATTAAGTTAGTTATTAATGAAAATAATTGTTAAATTTTCATTATTCGACGTAGATTTGTGATTATATTCTATATGTTTCATTTGTATAATCTACTTTATAGCCTGAATCATTTACTAGATTGATGTTGTTGAGAACATGAGAACAAACAACGTAAATAATTTGACCAAACTAAAATGTGTTTTTTTTTGACTTTTTTTACAATTTTAAAAGCTTAATTTTAAGTGAATTGATGTGTGATAACCGAAAAATCTGTACTTGTACACTATTCTTCAATGGTTTCATTAATTAGACTTTAACCGTTTGAGATCATTATACATTTATGAAATCTATTTTATGGGTAATTTAAAATGAATAAGGATTTTTTTAAAAATCCATCCAAGTTTCTACTACAAGATAAAAGTAAATATAATAATGATAAGTGCCATTCAACTATAATGAAATGAAAACTTTCTTGACTAACGCCTGCACATTAGTTATAATTTGTGGTTGAAGACTTTGGATGAAATTGTCAAAACAGAAAGAGAATCTTTGTATTTTAACTGTTAATAAAATTGCTTAGATTAATAAAAATCATAACAGTATTTTAATCGATATGTTCAACCATAAAAGTCAGTGCATTAAGTGACAAAACCGTTATGCAGATTAAATTTAGGTAGAATAAGTTAATCACTAAATAGAATTTCATTTATCATTCCTTTCTAAAATATACTGATTACATAATTGATGGATTTACAGAAAAACATGAAATGTTACTAGAACATAAATCAGCATCCATTTGCTTCCAGTTAAATACCAAATCTTACCTTGGGATTTAGTCAACATATGAATGCTAATTAGTAATTTGAATGATTTTTTAATTACATTCATTCAAAATTACATCGTGTGCTTACTTATTGTAACAGTCCATTTTTGATATACATTTACACATATATATTATGGTTTACCTGTTAAAGAACTTTTCAAAATGCTTCTGTCATTGTACGTTCGCCAAGTATTGGCATAGTCTACAAGTCAAATACTTTTTGAAGGGATTCAAATGTCTTAATTACAATAATTTTGTTTTACAATATGGAAAAAATGAAGTGAAAAACTGAACTTTTTAATTTTGCAAATGAAAAGAAAATAAATAATTAAATAATTAAATAAATAAAATGCGAATTAGTTGGCCAGTAAAGGAGAAAATAAAAACATTTGATGAGTATAAAACATTTTTGAATACCAAAGCAAAAAGGAAATCTGCAGTTATTTCTATCATAGCTCTTTACTTTTCATGTATTGATTAAAGATATATTGGACATTAAATACAGATATAAAGCTTCGATATACATATATATTCATGTGAATATAAGCAATTACTATTTCAACAAATATGAAATACAAATAGATATCATTGTTACACCATTATTTTGTTAATTAGCAATTAGATATGTTGTTTTTCAGTTTGAAATAGGATTAGTAAAAAAGAAAATACCATTTGATATAAAATGATAAACAATAATCTTGTATGTTTGATAATTATTTTAATTTTAAAACATTTAGAGCAAATTAAGTCAATTTTAAAAATATTTATATGCTTGTGATTGTCTAGAGCTTAAGCGCTCGCGAGCGAGACTGATAGGTCCTGGGATCGTGGATGCGCAATGCTAAGGAGTCCCACAGTAGAACGAAACGACCGTCCAGTGCTTCTAGGTTTTCTATGGTGGTCTAGCTTCGATTGACTTATGATCTCAACTAATAAAATTACTATAATATCCACAAAACCCCTTGTGATACCAATTTAATTGTCCTTGAATACTTTGATATCATTTGATTATAAAACATTAATTGTTTAATTTCAATGGTTGAGATCATGAGTTAATTGAAGCCAGATCACGATGGAAAACCTGGAAGCACTACACGGCCATTTCGTTCTATCGTGGGACTCCTCAGCAGTGCGCGTCTACGATCCCGCCTCTTTGGATCCGAACCCAGGACCTACCACTTTCGCGCGCGGGCTCTTAATGACTTGAACACTGAGCTGACCGGTATCCAGCGGTGTTAATGTCTGACTTCAACTAATCCACAAAATTGAGCGACACATCCACCATTGTCATCAGTGAGTTACTATCTCACAATTGACCCTGTTGAACTCCACTGGTCACTGCTTCCCACTAGAACTCCAGGATATACTTTTTGAAGCCAGTCACTAGTGAGCATATGTTGATTAGTATCAGAAGGGGTTTTGCGGAGATTATAGTAATTTCATTTTGAAAGTATAACATCTAAAGATTTAATATAAGTGTGGCATGAAATGTTTGATTAAACGACACAGTGAATATTATTAAATCAATCATATTACTCTTCACAATGAATTACATTTAAAGTGACTCTATAAACAATCAGATGATAAAGTGAAATAAATTTTTATTATCCATTTACATTGATTGTTTAATTTCTTTTAAATTTGTAAATTAATATGTCTGTTAGTAAATTAACAGGTTAAATTACTTTAAGGGTATAATAACTTTGTAGGTTCATTCATTCTTCCTTAGATCTTCAGTTTTAGAACTGTCCTTAATTTTTTATTACGTGACTTCATTCTTTTTTTCTAAAATCATATTGTCTATGCTTAATTTTCTTTATTCCCATTGATACGGTTATTGTTTCTATTATCCTGACATTTATTTTCACAAATTCATCTCTCAGTGTTGATATAGTGTAATAATGTGAATTGATGCATATATATGTCAGGTCTATATTATTTATGAATGAATATAAAACAATAAATGAATCGTTAAAACTGAAATAACTTGTAATGTGAAATTCTAGTTTTTAAAATATTTGATGTAATTATGTACAACAGAGATTAGGAACAGTAAACAAATGTGTAAACTTACTACATGCGATCGATGCTCTTGGAATTGTCGATGATACAGGTATTGCTGAGATACATAAACAAAAAATAATTAACTGTTAACCCAATGTAAATAAACAATCTAATTGATTTTGTTTCAACTTAATCACAAATAAATATTGTCTTAGTAAGCATTGAACAAGACAGAATTATATACAAGTATATAGTTGTATTTTATAAAAAAACATTATGTTCTAAATAAATAACATATTTGTAAAATCCCAATGAGTAGAAAATTAGATTTCCTGACGTTTCGTGGCTTAGTGTAAGTCACTTCTTTTATTCTCTGAAGAAGTGACTTACACTAAGCCACGAAACGTCAGGAAATCTAATTTTCTACTCATCGGGATTTTACAAATATGTTATTTATTTATAACAATCTACCCAATGCTCAATATATTCGAAATTATTATGTTCTAAATGTTTATATATATATATATATATATATATATATATATATATATATATATATTCTTAAAATTAAATGTTTACTTTTTAATCATTCAGCTTCATTAAAATTATATTATTTTGAAATGCCTTTTTCATAACAAGCGTAAATTATGAAGTAAGCCCATAGAAATGTGATTTTTTTTCAAGCTACTTATTTTTGAGTCATGAATGAACACTTTTAAAGATAACTTGATACATTGTTTCAAAGATAAATTATGAGTGTGGATGTTTTTGAAAATTCTTGCGGTTACTTTATGGTGACATATATTAAGTGATTTTTGTAACAACAAAAAATAAAAACTACATTTTCTCCTAATTTGTCACACTTTATTTGTAACCACATTTTTATTCAATATCTGTTGTTTTGCTGTATCACTTGTTAAAAAGACGATGATAATTGTTTCGATGAATGATATACAATTTTACTACCGCGTTGTTTAAAATATAGAACACTGTCTACGCCGTTTGTTCTTCTGTTTTATTGGCCACCGTTTGATTGAAGACTATAATAGTATTATAACATCATTATAGGCCTTCCGACTCAACGTTGGACTTTTGGCGCCGATTACTATTGTATAATACTATTGGACTCCGTCTTCCTCATTACGTCATTGGTGCAGTCACTTGCAGAGGAACACCTGTCAATCAAGTGAACTCAGTTTGTGGTCGTTGTTCTCACGAGGCAGTTCACAAGTAACATTCATTCTATAGTAACTGTTAGTGTCTGTTTGTTTAATATACCTTTTGTATTGCTAACGGTATTTTGTTACCTTTAGTTTTACTAACGGACAGACATCTAGGTTTCTTTACTATTAATTTCTTTGGTATATCATTAATAACCTAGTGTGACGATATATTTTGTATAAGCTCCTTTTGTTTGGGAACCACCACAACTTTCATCAAATCATCTTGAACTGAAAGCATTTAAATGTTCACATCTATAAAATGCACAGATCTACTATTATTTGAACCATTTGTGTCAAGTCTGTTTAACAATAAATGCACTAAAAGGTTACACTATCAAACCACAGAAATATCAAGAGTTCGGAAAGGGTTGTAATCTATAATGGGCTAGAAATAATGATATGCCAAAACATAGATCTCATAGTATTTATATTTTCCTGTCAATGATGATTTAGTTAAAAATAATGAAAATAAAACTGAATAATCAATTAACATTTTAATATATATTAGTTCACATTTTGTAGTTTGAAATTACTTATAGTTATATGTTAACTATTGGAAAATAATTCTTAGAAGGCTGTAGACTTCTTATTTATAAAATTAACACTTATTTACAATAGTCTGTTTCCATTTTGAATAAAGCAATTGAAAGTTTAGATTTTGGTTGACCCTCAGGTGTGTTGAAGCATATAAAACATTAAATGATAATTAGTGTTTTTTTTACCCTGATCCTTAGTGTTGCACAAGTTTTATTTAGAAACCTATGTACTGTTGTCAGTAAGCTGTGGAATTGAACATCTCTGGGAGATTTTGCTAATGTTGTGTAATGAAGGATACTATTAAGGTTATTTAAATAGTGACAATTTAAAAATTATGGATGTCAGTTGTTTGAAATAATTTATTGTATTTTATATAACTTCTTTTAATCTGCTTATGTTTTACAAGAGTTTTACTAGTCAGTGTTTGTTAAATAGTTGGCATAATTTTCAAGAAAATGGATCACTGTCACTAGAATTTAGAGACTATGTTATATAACGCAATTAAATTACACACAAAAAAAGGGAGATTACAGATAATTCTTATGAAAAATTCTTTCAGTTCAAATGCTAAACAATGTATGAATACAAACAACAAATAACTCAAACGCAGGATAAATTGTTTTCACGTTAATTATTCTCACTACTATAATACTTTGGTGCTCTTCCCTAAACTATTGAAAGGCGTCTAGTCGATTTCTACTGATCATCACTAAAGATTAAACAGCATAATATTAATTACTATTTGGTGGCGAACCAAGTGCAAATAGAAAATCAGTCAAGGCATAATTAGTGTACGGATTCCATTTTGCGGCTATAATACTGTATGACACGGATTTCAAACTCTGGGGATTATCAGTTTTCTGAAGTACATAAACACATTCTGCCAATGAATGTATCTAACATCAAACCTAGGTTCAAAACTTAATAATGAAATGCGTAAATTAGCTATACATTAAATGATATATATATATATATATATATATATATATATATATATATATATATATATATATATATATATATATATATATATATATATATATATATATATATAGCCAATTGAGTAGAAACTGAAGTATTATTCTCACTTCTGTTTCATAAATCATACGACAGAGCATCTAGTCATTATTATAGTGATAATGAAGACACCTATACTTCAATACCAGTCATTCTTTGTTGTCATTGCGGAATAAAATCAGTTCTTTTATTAGTTTGTTCAGTTAGTTTATTTGGTAAGTGAAATATTGTGTAACTCAAGTAAAATCAAACAAATAGTTGAACCAAATTTTTAGATTGAAAAAATAACTTCATAACATAATCCAATGTTCGTAAATATTGAGGGCTTTTATACAACAAAACTTCTGAATAGATTAAGCAAACAACAGAGTAATTAACTTTGAACATTGATGTATATATATTTAAAGATTTGTAGTGACACCCTTACGATTAATTTTGATAACGGTCAAGCACTTTAATCTGACAGACAACTTTATAGATATAGTAATAAGTCGTTTATTTCTTTGTATTAACAGGACAGCTATGATACCTACGCAAACGTATATTTCTGTCTGACTCAAATATTGATCGCTTAAATATAACTCGATGTATAATTCTCCATCCCTCATATAGACGCACTTACTTACGCCTGTTACGCTTCGTGGAGGAGCATAGGCCGTTCACCAGCGTTCTCCATCAAACACTTTTCTGAGCAATTCTTTCAAGTCACTAGTCATCCTATTCACGTCTGCTTTCAATTCCAAACGCAGTGTTTTTTGACCTTCCTCTTTTCCGTTTCTCTTCAGGATTCCAAGTTATGGCTTACCTCGTGATGCAGTTTGATGATTTCCTCGATGTGTCCAATCCACTTCCAACGGCTTTTCCAGATTTCCACCTCAGTTGTAAGTTGCCTTGTTCTCTCCCATAGTAAGCTGTTGCTGATCGTATCCGACCAAGGCACATTCGGTATCTTGCGTAGAAAATTGTTTAGAAATACTTCTGCTATTTTGATGATGCTTGTAGTAGTTCTCCAAGTTTCAGTTCTGTACAGTAGAACTATCCTGACGTTCGTATTGAAGATTCTGACTTGTTATTTGTTGACAGTTGTTTTGAAATCCATGTGTTCTTCAAGTTAAGAAATGCTATCCTTGCTTTACCAATCCTCGCCTTTAAGTTTGCATCATATCCTTCTTGTTCATCAATGAAGCTTCAAAGGTAAGTGAAAGATTCCACCTATTCCAGTGCTTCTCTATGAAGTGAGATTGAGCTGGTGTTCTCTGTGTTGCATTTGAGGATCTAACTCTTTTTCTTGTGTATGTTGAGGTCTACTGCTTCAGAGGCTGCTACTACATTGATTGTCTTGACCATTATTAATTGATGTACATGGGATAGAAGTGCTAGGTTGTCTACAAAGTCCAAATAGTCCAGTTGCATTCAAGTTTTCGATTGTATTCCGTACTTTCTCTCAAATGTCGGTCTTCATAATCCAGTCAACTAGAGAAAGAGTGAAAGTAAGCAGATTTGTCTGAATCCGGTCCATACTTGAAATGAGTTTGTCTGATATCCTTCATACACGACTTTGAACTGTAGTCCATAGTATGCATTCCGGATGATGTTAACGATTTTCCCAGCTACTCATTCCATAGTGTCGAGGGAGTTTCCATAATGTTCTTCTAACCACACCGTAAAACGCCTTGTCACAGTCGGGGAAGTTGATCTATAATGACGAATTCCATTCAGTTAACTGTTCAACGATGATCCGTAGTGTCGCGGTTTGGTTTGTGCACGACCGATCTTTACGGAATCCAGCCTGTTGATCTAGAAGTTTTGTGTCTACTGAGTCTTTTCCGGTACTTACAGTAATGTGATGCCTCCGTAGTTTTCACATTTCCTCAGACCTCCTTTCCTTCTCATCTTGATGAGGTATCCTTCTTTTCAATCTGTCAGTGGCATTTGTTATTCCTACCAAATCTTCCCGAATAGAAAGTGAGAGTACCTTTGCAGTTATTTCTATATGTGACTTCAGTACTTCGGCATGTATATTCTCAAATACTGCTGCTTTCCTACTCAAGAATTGTCTAGTGGTCGGCCATCCTGATTCCTTCGGTCGCTGGTGGAGTGACATTTATAGGAAGGACTGTGTCTGTTGCTTCAATATCCGAATGATTCAGTGGAGTTGACCTATTCAGGAAGTGTTCAGAGTTCTCTACCCATCTGTTCATCTGTTCACAAATTGGCTTATTTATTCGTTCTTGACTGGTCACTCTGCTATACGATATTTGCCTGCTAGATTATTCGTTGTGTCATATAGTTGATTCATATTTCCTTCTGTTACATCTCTTTCCACAGTCGTTGCTAGGTCTTCCACGTATTTCTGCTTGTTTTCTCTCTAATGTTCTTCTCCACTAGCTTATCTGTCCCTGTGTATTCAGCCTGTGCCATGACTTGCTCTATTCTTGTCTGGTTGTTGTTAATTGCCGCCTCCATATTCTCCTTCCTTTCTTGAATCTTGTCTAGGGTTTCCATAGAGATCCATTCTTCATGATGATGCTTCTTGCGAGCCGTAACCTCCTGACACGTTGAAGTTAGTGCTTCTTTGATCTCTTCCCAGTCGCCCTCCATAGTATTTTCTGCTTCTTTCAGTAGCTCTAGTAAGTCTGTGAACCTGTTGTTGAGAGTTATCTTGGATTGGTTGAGTTTGTCAGTATGTCGAAGCACGTCTGTATCGAAACTTTGTAATGCTGTTTGTCCGGTTGTACAATGTTTCTTTAGCTTCAGTTTCATGTTGGCAACTACCAGTCGATGATAATCTGAAGCCATTTCAGCTCCTCTCCTCATTCTCATACTTCTCATTGTCCTTCTGAATATTTTATTGATACAAATATGATCTATATGGTTCTCCGTGATGTGGTCCGGTGAAACCCATGTAGTTTTGTGTGTGCATTTGTGTGGAAATATTGAGCCACCTGCAACCAATTTGTGGAATGCACATTGGTTTGCAAATCTCTCACCATTCTCGTTCCTTTCTCCCAATACATGTCGTCGCACCATACCTTCATAACCGTTGTCGTTCATTCCGACTTTGGCTTTTAGGTCTCCCATCAGAATGGTGAGATCCATTCGTGGGCACTTCGATATGACTGACTGCAGCTTCTCGTAAAAGTGATCTTCAACGTTGTCATTGATATCATTGGTGGGTGCATAACGTTGGAAAACACTCATTGTTACTTCCTCCTACTTTGTTCTGTAGGATGCTTTGATGATCCTGGATCCATGAGATTCCCATCCTATAAGTGCGATTCGTTCTTCTTTGGACGGCATCAGAACAACTCCTTGAGTGTATGGAACATTTTCCTCTTCGTGACCGGAGTACAGCAGCATCTCTGCCGTGTCTAACCTTTGCTCTCCAGACGTTCTATGTACCTTTCAAAATTGTTGTTCTAGTTGTTAGAAAGGGCGTCGAATCCGAGACTTCGTAAGAATCTCTACTTTCATCATGAGGCGTCATAATACTTTCTTGAATTTGGAGGACATAGTTTACATGGCTTAAATTGTTTATTCTGGTTAGCGTTTTTTTAGCAAAGTTGTTTTCTACGGGATGAGGTTGCCGACTACACGCCCAACCCTCCACCATAACGCGGACTTGGGACCGGCAGTAGCTCTAGAAGAGCTACAAGTGGAGTTCTCATATATATGTACCCGTATTATAAAAACAAACTGTACTTTGATTCTCCATGACATTATTTTTTGTGACAATAAATTTGCCTCTATATTTGCTTGCAACGATTCATTAGCTTTTCTGCTTCAAATCCGCTTGATGTGTCTGTAATGCCGTGGTTGGCACGACCAGCTACTGAGTTGCAGTCGCAGCTTTCTGTCGCCTTCTGAATTCCATCCCATGGGGTCCCCGTAATAGCAGTTATCAGGATGAACGTTTAACGAAACTACGGTCATTACAGGTCTTATAGTGTACGAGTTAATTTCAGCTAAACTAAGTAGGTCAATTACAATGTGTACGAGTGGAACAAGTTCAAAATTTCCGAGTGTACCACGAATTTTATTGAGTTTAAAAGTAATCGAATTATGATTGCCTTTAAAATCTTTCAAATATATAAACTGAATGATTCAGTCCCATCCAAGCAACCAAAACCTCTATTGATTTTTTTCATGAGTCGCTATTTACTTTAGAACAATGACTTACTAAAATTTATCCTTATTGTTTTGCAAATAAACATCACTAAACTTATGATTAGCGATCATGAATATATGTATAATAAACTAGAGCTTATGAATCTTTGCTAAACAAATGATAGAAACAAAAAAAAATAGGAAGTTACATTACTTACGTCCAGCTGATGTAACTGGCGTATTCAAATATGGTGTTGCACGTGGACTGTTTCTTGGAGGAAGGGCTGATTTAGATATAAAATAAAAAATCCAAACATTTTTGAGCAGATACATTATTTTAATCAATAGATAATTTCGTAAACCTTTTTATAAAGGTCTTATTTTAATAAAATAAAATTCAACTAAAAAATCTGATAATATAGCCAGATAATTATGATATTCATGGACATTTAGTTGAAATTAAAAATAACAGGGAGTTAATTCATAACGTTTACTGATTCATACAGTTCTTTTAATTTTGAATTATATATATAATATCTCTGAACTAATTAGCAGTATAACAACAAGATTCAAATATAACAAGAAATAACCGACCTACAGATTAGTATAGTAAGAAAATTGTTTATACTGCCTAAAGGAAATGTTTAATTTCGATGATATGCTCCACTGAGCCGATAGTTCTCTTATCATTGGTTTGGTGATTCATTTACTGATTGGCCAGGGTAGCAGAGATGTTAAAATAAACCGTTTAGTGTGTAATCAAACTTTTTAGATAGCGAATGAATAGAAAAAAAACAGATTAACAAGTGGAACAAACTGACCTCCAGATCCGGATGCATTCTGTACTGAATATCTCCTTTTTTCCGATGACAATGCTGTAATATAAAATACCTGATAAGTGAATAATGAAAATTCTTTTAAAACGCAAACAAATATGTTATAGAGCTGTTTATTTGTTGATTTATTTCGGAATATCGCCTTATCATCTTCAGACATAATTTGATAATAAATACATTTTAAATCATTTTGTGATTGAGAGGCAAAGATAAATTGAGAAAAAAATAAGGTATTCCATCCAATTGTTAACCTCACATTTAATCTGCTTTATAGTACGTTTTCTTTTGTAAAAACGTTTTATACCCATGCAAGTCGCGGTATAAAGCATTTGATTAACTAAAAATAATCTGTGTAGCTAATATAATCATTCATACTGTGGGAGTAAATTATTGCTTTTTTGCTAAGCAAATCAGCCAATAGGTTTTCTGTTAACAGTTAACATCTAATATTGTTTAGATACGTTTAAAATAATGTTTACAAGTTATATTAAAAGTCTTAAGAAAACAAAATACATAAAGATTATTAGAAAAGCAAGTAAAATTATAATTCTATATATAAAAAAGACTGTTTATAAGAATCATTACCAAAGTTTGACTTGATGTACTCAAATAACCAGAACATGAAGTAGATTATTTATAATAATAAAAAATTTGCTATATTCCAATGAGTAGAGAATTGAATTTCTGACGTTACACTACTTAGATTAAATTGTTCTTTCAGAGAATAAATAATTAAAATAAATTAACACCATTTTAATTGGTATAGACGAACAAATCAAAATACAAATTTGATCATTTTAATGTCAAATTATTCAAGTCAAAGGGGAGATGTGTATATTTATTTATGTACGGCCGAGAGTGCAGAGAGTTAGCTCTCCCTCTCGAAACGCTTTCACATGGCCACGTGCATACAACAACTACTAGGGGAGTCCTACTCACTGCCTTCTCGCAGAAGGGGTGTTGTTTACGAAATTGAGAGGATGAAAAGCGAATGTCTGGCACTTTACCCGGATTGGTGGACACGAAGGATCCACTTAGAGGAGTTGGAAAACCCTGATCCCAAACCAATGGTGCATATGAGTTACATGATCCTAAGGGAACAAAAGGCCTATGAACCTATTGTTGGTCACCGGCTACCATGGGTTTGTATCTCCTTATTTTGCTCCACTGCCTTGTAGATTATACTTTTCAATCAAAGGCTCCGGTTGTGGCCCCTTTAGAAAACAATCTGCTTCGGCCTGAGCACTTGGGTAGTATCACAGCCCACACACAAATAAAATGTAATGACGATAATTACTGAAAACACTATTCTCGCTTCAAATAAAACTCAGACAGTCCCCATTCATTTTTCTTTTTTCTATATACTACTTTCATTCATTTCCACTTTGTTCATCCTTACTTTTCGACTTATACAGAAGCTCGCCTATGGTGGAAACCCTGTCCTATCTAAACGATTTCGAGTTACTGACCGGTCGAAAGTTGGATGCTACCACCGACTACGAATACCAAGTCTTTCTGAAACCACGTATATCACACAAACTGGCCTCCTTCAATGTTCGCACACTAATGGAGATCGGACAACACATAAGGCTGGCTGTCTTTAGAAAGTCTTAATATCGATATCTGTTGTCTAGCTTCAGCGAAAAACTCTTCAATATCAGTGTTTTACTTAGCAGCTTCATGTCTTATTTAAAAGCATCTTTGGTGCATATTTGATTAGTTCTGTTAAAGAGGCACTTTGCAAAGCCTTAGTTGTATTCTAGGAAACACAAACCTATATTTTTTACTTAGAAGGGATAACTTTCTTTATTTGTAGTCATATTTAATCATAACAAGTGCATTAGAACCTTTGTCAGATTTAAGGATCTCAATATCTGGTCTATTCTGCGGGCATTTTAAAGTATTTGAATGTTTAGCCGCCAGGATATCACTGTTTTATTTTTGAAGCATAAAAACAGAGAGCGATATCGAGTAATTTTGCTCTCAAGAAATTCTGCTTTACCTGTGTGTTCGAAGCAAGAACGCTAACTTAGTCACAGAGATTTTTTGATTCATCATCATTCTTCGTATGAGTTATTTATCTTGATTCACAAGCCCGAAAATGCGTCTTAACTGACATTTAGAGACCTACTGATTAAATACTTTGTGGAAAGGATTAGAGAACTGAGGTTACTGAGATAATCGTAGGGCTTATATGAAGATATCTCCGATTTGCATAAATTTGACCAGTTATTAAATACAGAACAATAAATACACAGGAATACACTGAGTTTATGTTATCTGTTGATTATTTAAGCTCACAAACGTTTATTCACTTAATTATTTGATGGGTAAATGACGCGCAATCACCACAGTACTGTATCTGTCGTTATTTCTTCGATTCCATTCATATGGAAATCAATGAAATTGCGCAAAATGTGTTGTTATTTTCTAGAAATTAAGGACCTGAGCTTAGAAACCTTTAAAAATTAGGAAACATTCAATAATTCCTCAATGGTGCACGATTACGAACGACTGTCCAGCACTTTTATGTTTTCAGTAATAGTATAGCTAAGATTAGGTCATGATCTAAATTGTGAAAATTCTACAATCACCAAAAATCTTGTATACTAATTTAGATTTTGTTAGAGAAAATTGTGACAACCAAGAGCGGTGAAATGTTTTCAGCAAACTCCAAACAACATCTATGTAATGTTGGTTAGTTATCTGACTGTCATATATTGGCATATTCTATTTTTAATTTCAATTTGAATGTTGATACGTCTAATCATTTTGGTACCTCCAGCATTAATAATCTCCGAGGTCATACTAAGAATGTTCACAACCCGCGATCTAATGAACTTGAAGTGGGGTCCCGTCCAAGTCGACTACTGGGACGCCTTACCCGAACAAGTGGAGTCAGCCCCATCAGTAAACATTTTCGAGAAGCTGGAACTTCACTAGAAGGTAAACTGTCAGGATTAACGTAGGTCCACCAGTCTACTATCCTTATTACTTGAGACTGAAGACTGACTGATCTTTTTGTCAACAGCAAAACAGCGAGTTCGATATACACGATGAAGGGAAACGATTATATGTAAAATGTTATCTTTTCTCAAAAATGAATGAAGAATGTCTATGCTCTTATATATTGCCAGTTTCCATGTGAGTAATTGCTCAGATCGAAATAAATATCTTTAAAATATTGCCAACAAAGCTTGAATTTGTGTGGTTACGTAATAGGTTAGTTAAGCAACTTTTTTCCCAAAAGTAAACAAACGTAATTCATTACATCAAGATACGTAAATAAACAATATTTAATTTATATAAGTGACAAACCTGTATCCTTGAATACGGCTGCAGATAATTGGTGAGGAAGAGTTTAAAAAGGAAAAAGGCTAAGAGTAAATTAGTGTTTCAATTTATTCACCAATGTAATAATACATAATAGTTAGTTTTAATCAAATAACAGAAATAAAACTCATAAAATCAATACGCGATTTTTAGTAAAGTGTTCCTCTAAGTGCTGTTGTTTATCATCAAATCAGTGAATAGATTCAATTAAAAGTACACAGTAAACTTGAATTCAGTAAAGTGTGTGAAAGGAAAAAAATATTAAATTAGAAACATTCTCATTTCTCCAATACACCGCACTGTTTTTAAACTGTAATCTAAATCTTAAAAAAACTATACTTAAATAAATATTAAAAATTAACTCTACTTAAAGTGTGTATTATATTTAGTTAACTTATTTAACTGATAAAGTTTATAAAAGATAACACTTTCTAAAAGTCTGTTAGCATAGACAAATTGATTAATGATAACAGATGCAAAAAAAATGGATAAATGTAGTTGTCTAAGAAAAAAAAACCCTTTTTAATAACTGTTGGATGCCGGCTCAGTGGTCTAGAAGTTAAGTGTTCACGTGACAGACCGATGGGTCTTGAATTCAGATCTGGAGGAGAGGGGTGCTCACTACTGAGGAGTTTCATACTAGTACGAAACGGCCGTCGAATGTTTCCAGAGTTCTCATGGTTGTCTAGCTTTAATTGACTCATGAATTCAACTATTAAATATATAATTGTTTACACAAATTTCTGCAAACTGTCAACCACTTATTTAAACACGTAGATGAGTGTAATAGTGTAACCTTATTTTGATTGTGTTCAGTTTAAAGTTATTAAAACAAAAGTTAATATTAAAATAACGTTATACATGGATAATTGTACTGAACAAAACAACAAACATAAAATATACACAATGTAATAATTTGAATTCATAATATTAATACTTGGCAATATTTTACAAATGCCCATGTGAATATGAAATTAAATGAATCTTATAAAAAGTAAATGGTTTGAGCAAATTCTTAATGTTTCATAAAGAAATTGAAGATTGAAAAAAATGTAAAATTTCATAAATTCATAAGGTTAATTCATAAAAATTTTAGTGCTATTTTATTTATTTGATAAGTTAGTAACATGCAAAGTTTACTTTAATAAATCAATTTATTATTAAATTATTTACTTACATAATCTACCAATGACTTTAGGTAGTGGCTTTTGACCCTGTGATAATTCTTCAGTACTAGAGATTTCGGATGGTTTACGTGATTGTGCCAACGCTTTTTGTAGAGAAAAATATATATTATGGTTATAAATTATTATTCATATATGAAATTTCAAGTTTCAAAGACGAAAAAAAGATTGTATGAATGATAACTGATTGAACTACAAAACAGCAAGCAATTTTTTTAACAGAAAATTGAAAAACAAACTGTTAAGTAGTAATCTAGCAAACTGATTACTATGCTGAATATAAGACCTAGAACTTATGAATACGAATACCTTTGAAGTCACAGACATACTGTCGTAAATTTTTGGAAGAACACAGTTTGTAGAAGGGTGAAGAATAATAGAGTATGAAAAGCATATTTTAGGACAGATGTGTGTGAACTGCAGATATAAGTCAAAATTTAACCCGACACTGGATTTTATAGGAAATGTGCATTCATATGAAGATATGAGATAATTCAAGATTAATGTTAGGAGATGGGATTATTTATGTCAAAAGCTTGAACAGTGGCTTTCCAAACTCACATTCATTTAATATGTAACCAACTTCAAACGTTTGACAGACCTCACTTTCCAATATCAAATCTATAAAAAGTCTTCCGTAAATCTGACGAAGAATGTATTTGCTATGTTTTAGCACTAAGTACTTTAGTTTAATGATGTTTCAAAGAACTAAACGCTTCGGATCACAGTTTTATTTGTTGATTGATCCAATAATTCTAATAATAGAGTAGCTTATCATGGTATATTAATGGGAGTAATAAGCCTCCAAGAAGGAAATGCTATAAATGCTATTGACTATATCCTAGACACTATTCGAAGGGAATTTTCGCCAAAAATATTTATTTAGTGGTCCATATTCAGAAATCACACAACAGAGATAAGTCTACCTTCACTCATATGCATTACGATAAGTAGGATGATTTCAGATTGCAATCGTTGAAACCATTTCATTGATTAAGTAACATTGTTAACGTTGTGGAGTGAGTATGGTAATATCCGTAAGGGTAAAAACTGTACAGTAATTTGATTGCGATCATGAACCGATTGGTGTTAGACCACCTTTGGAAACTTGGAAGCACTGGACGGCTGTTTCGTCCTATTGTGGGACTCAGAAGTGCGCATCCACGACCCCACTCGCGGGATTCGAATCCAGGGCCTTCGGTCTCGCACGCGAACGCCTAACCTACTGGACCACTGAGCCGGCATCCAATAATGATAGTGTCTGACATCAATCAATTCACGAAATTGCGCGACCATCTTCCATTGTACTGCAGTAGATACCTGTCTCTACCCGACATGGATTAGCTCCACTGATCACGGCCTCTCACTAGAACTCCGAGAATTCTCTCACGAAGCTAGTCATTAGTGAGCACATGTTAATACCCAGTTCACAAAATTTCACAAGTTAATATTTTTCTCAGAGTATTTATTACTACTTAAAACTTGTAGGTAGTACAAACAGTTTAAATATACTATGGTGAAGTAAGTGGTTTTCAAAAAAGGACATAATTTATCAGGCTCAATAACAAACTATAAATCATATGAAATTTTCTCCTTTCTGTGCTCTTACGATTTTCCGGTATATAAGGATCTTGTAAACTAGTTCAGAAGAAAGCAAATTATTCAGTAAGTTGTTTGCAAAAATATATATGATGACTTAGTAATCAAAATATTTAAGTGATGGAATTCAGCATCTCCAAAGTGTTTATTATTTGAACATCGTATAAAAATATTGCGCAAAATGAAAGGAAATGAGTATTTTGATTTTCACCAAAATGGAAAAGAATCTAACAAAATTCCACTACATAATAGCCAATTTGGTTAGTTATAATAGATATACCACGCGACAAATACAAATTTCTGTCCAAAGCTATATCTCAAAACAACGGATCAAGCAAGTAAATTGATAAGGTAAAAACAAGAGCATAAGAAATAATAATATCAGCTGATGTAGCTGGCCAGAAACAAAAGTCAGAGATAAAAAGGAACGGATGAAGCTGAAGAATAAAACAGATGGAATCACTTTAACGAAGATACGGAGTAGACGTTACTAAACTGATGTAAACGTTTTGGCCATATTTTCGAACGCCTCCAAATACAGAATATGACCACCATACACTTTTTAATTAAGCTCCAGTCAACACTTACAGACTTCATGTGTTGATCTCCTCATCCCTACCTTTTCTCATTCTATTCATATATCGGCCCTCATAATCAGACAAGTTATATTGTGTTGAATGTGATACGTGTTGTAAGCACCCTAATCGATGACAGTTTACAACTGACATGCTCATAAACTTAGCGTTACTAATTACGCGTTTCTGCCATATGTTAGTGACACTTTAAAGACACTTGTGATGGAACAAATGTATCTTTTACTTTTTGTAGATGATACTTCACAGTCGTAAGAAAATGGGAAGCTGGTTGTTGAATAGATCGCAAGCAGAGAATAATAAGATTAAGCTACCAGTTGAGTGTATAATGGCTCAAGATTTCAAATCCAATCAATCTTCTATAGAATGCGATAAATGTTTGATATTTTGTCAATCATATAAGTGAAAGCATTTTGAAAGAACAAATTTAATTCAGTCATATTTAAACAAAAAAAAACAAGTGTGAAATCAACAAAATGTTTGCAACTAGATACATAATTCAGATAGATACATAATAGTTACGTAATTTTAAAATATCTAGAAATTAAAAAGTCTGTACGTGTTTTTTCGTTTGATAATATCACATTCATGAAATAAAAATGAAAATTTTGCCATATAAATCAATTGTTTTTTTCTTAAGTAATTCATCATGTTTAGGATAAAATTTTAAGTAATATAAACTGAGTGACAAAATTTTTTGATGATATGAGAATGCTCTGAATATTTTTTTTACAAATAATAATGAACTATCTGTGTATAAACAGACAATCCATCAGATATGTCATACGTTTCCAAAACGTCTCTATGGGAAACTGTAGCTGAATTTCCAAAGTATATCAGTCATAAATGTTTATGGAAATACACTTAAATCTGTGTAAAATTTAGGAGGTAACATTAGAAAATACGTTTATGAAGAAAGACTTAGGGATCGCACTGACTTAATTTACATACAATCAAAATTTGATAAACGTGATAAGTCAAATTTAAGGTGACGAGGTCATCATTTGTGTCAACATCTAAAACTGACTATTTACCTATAAATGGGATTAGTAAAAATTACGAATTTGCAGAGAGCATGAATTTAGATGTCCTACCAATTACTAATTACTCTATAAAGAAGCAGCCTTAGTGAAACTTAATGAAATATTTTGTTAATAATTTATTCTAAATGAACTTCATATAACTTCACCGTTACACTTTCATAATTGTGTGAAATAGTACTGAACCGGGGTAGTTTGTTTTTCATTTATAACAATCATATAGATTACACATTTAATAGTAATAGACAATAAGTAATGATTCTTGATTTATGCCAAGTTGCAGTCCCAAACATTATTATTGGGAAAGCACAAATTCTTATGTCCATGTTAATAAACGTTAAGATCAAAGGAATCAGTATCGAAATGATTTAAATGACATGACAAAAATTATATATATATATATATATATATATATATATATATATATATATATACTAATCAATCACCATCTTATAAACAAACTAATAAATTAGTTTCAAACTATTGAGTCACGTGGTTACCGTGCTTTTGATTAATAGTTAATAATTCTTGTATCCTAATAATTATTTTGGAAAAACGACCTAGGGCAGATTTTTGAGCACGTGAAAAAATATTTGTGGCTTTTATTACCACAATGCATGTTTCAAGTTCTGGCTTCACAATTAATCATTTTGGAAAATTAGGAACTTATGTATTATTTTACACATAATTTACCTTAACAATTACACACATTATATCTGATAATTATTTAAGTTCCAATTAAATTCTTCTATTATTTCTTGGTACATAATATGGATCTCGGAGACAACGTATTAAGCTATTGAATATCTCTTGAGTGGTGTAAATTAAACTGAAGGGTCAGAGAAATACAATATTCATGTGATATACTATTTATTAAACTTAAATAATAAGTAGTTACAGAAAGTTAACCGTGAAATCAATTTGTAATCAATTTACTATGGTCACTTCAATAATTAATTTGTAATAGTCATTTTTTGTAAAAATTAATTAACTCACTAGATAAATGACGTTCCTAACTTATAATCCCACTGAATTATTCAGCATAAAACTCAGAAATTTAGTATAGTTTCCTATATTCTTTGGTTATGGTACATCAGAGTAATTCTGTCCGAAATGTTAAAAACTTGTTAACATTCATGTAAGTCCCTTTCATCTGTTATCTGGCTCAATAATCATCTGCTTCATTCTGATTAGGAAAATGTTGCTGAAATACCTGAAGATACAGTAATTTAAGTAGCGTTTAAATAGATATACCGATTTCTTGTTAATAAAACTGCTTGATCCTCATCTTAGTCATAAAAGTGTATCCGTGCTGGAATTGAAAGGAAGGTTATAGGTTGACTATTACTAATGAATTTTAGACCGATATTATTTTTCTTGCTGAACTTATTTAAATATATTCATATATTACATTGTGTCTGTGCAGTTCCTTGGAGACGATCATATTGTTGTTTTTAACAAAACAGCTGCAAGACTGAGAATTATTTCTTGATTTAAGAATCTTTCGTGTATATTCAATCAGCTATTTTATTTGATTGTATTCCAGGTCGAGAACAGAGAGTGAATCAATAAAGGGTATTTTATTCTATTTGATATTAGTCAGTCATGTATACCTGTACCGATGTCTTGTATCCACACTATTACTAGAACTTATTACAAATGAATTCAAATACAAAACGTTCTCCATCAAGCCATCAAATCATAATAGATACTATTAAGATTACATTTGGCAGTATTTTTGACAGTGAGTACTGGGTATAATTACCAAATTGAATATGACCATGGGTGCAAAGACATAGCCAAAAATCCTAAAAAACGCCTTTAACTACAATCGGAATAGAGGTATCTGTTCAT